TTCAATCCAATCAAGATCAAAAACATTTTCAGAAGTTTCAGAATCTAAATTATTATCATCAGGTATTTCCGATTCAGATTCTCCAACTTTGTCACTCAAATCATCGTCAACTTCGTCTTCAGATTTAGGCGTAGAATATACTTCATCTTCTTCCAATTCAAATAGATTTGACCGCGAAGTTCCTTCTTCAGACATGTTTATGGTTATAAAAAAAAATATGCGATAACGTTTATGTACACTAAAAATTTTTAGACGACCACGATTATTTTCGCGAAAAAATTTAGACGACAAGTCACGGAGAAAGTTCGAGACAAACTATTTCGTCTTCTGAGAATTTGTTTTATTTTTTCTTTGTTTTCACTTTTGTCATAAAAATCATCATAAAACAAACGATTATTGCTAACGATTATTGCTACACGTGTGTGCATACATATACAGCTTTCGAATATATCCAAAATCAAGAAAGAATATGTATATTTTTCGATTTTTTTAGTGTTAGAAAATGATTCTAGATGTCACTGTTATGAAATCGAAATTAATTTTGCTTTTATTCAGCAGTTTCATTATTTTAAAAATGTAAAAATCGCGAAATTTGTCTGAATCTTTTAAAAGGCATTATACATACAAATAAGAACGTAATTTAAAAGAAAAATTTTTCTAAAATGGTAACATCAAGTTTGCCAAATAGCGCATGGCAAAATGAGTGTCAAGAAGTGGCATGTGCTCCGCCAGTTGAGGGCACAACAGAGATAGGCTCTATGACTCTACAGAGGCTTCCGCCATTTAGAAAAGAAAATCCAAAATTCTGGTTTGTCCAAGTTGAATCAGCAATGGCCAAGGTAACCAGCGATAATACCAAGTTCCATTAGGTAATATTGCAGCTGGAGTCGGATATCCTGTCCTTTGTAGCGCACGTTGTAGAATCGCCACCAGTTACAGATAAGTATCTAACAATTAAAACACGGTTGTTAGAATTATTTAGCCAATCTGAAGAAACGAAAGTTCGTCATCTTTTAAGAACATGTAGGATGGACGATGAAAAAACCATCACACTTCTTACAAAGACTGAGAAATCTGACATGGAAACAATGTACCAGATTCTATAAAAACAATTTTCCTAGAACAGATACCTAGCTCGTTACACGACATATTAATGGCTAGTGATAGTAATGATTTGGCTAGACTTGCATCTTTAGCTGATAAAATTACAGAATTTAAATCCTCTCAAGTTTCGGTTGCGAGCCGAGGAAATGTAACTGGTGAAACCAAAAACGTCCAAGAAAATAACATGGCAGTTATATGTCGGGAACTGCTTAAACAAATGGAAATCAACGAATAACAGAATTAATTAGGCAAATGACAGTATTGAAAGTGGAGCGGCCACAACGAGAACATCAATTTTCGAGACACGACGTTCAAGGTCTCGCAACGAACGCTCTTCAGCCCGACAATATTCACAGTCCACAGAACGGAACACGGACTTACATTACTATCATCGATGATTTGGCAAACAATCTTATAAATGCACAACCCCCGTATACATGGCGATCTTCATCTAATGAAAGGAACACCGTCACGGCTGCGCCGATGGAAAACTAAAGTTTTGACGACACTGGGTGACGTGCAAAGTACTCTTGTTATAACCGATTATAAAAATAAATTAGCATTTCTAATCGACACTGGGGCTGACATATCCCTATTGTCGCTTAGCTCGACAAAAGGAAATGTCGCTCATTCTGGAAATTCACAGTCGCCAAGATACAACAATAATTATTGGTGCTGATTTTTTAAAATCATGGTCTTCTGGTGGATCTAAAACATAAACGTATTGTAGATGACTACACAAAATTACAAAGACATAGCCATTTAAGCATGATCACTCAACCATCAATTACGACAGTAGACAATAGTAATAATAATTATAATTCATTATTAAAACAATATATTAACATAACTAGACCTACTCAAAGACAAACCGAAACATAAAATATGTCATCACATAGTCACAAAAGGTAGACCTTGTGCAGAACGAGCTCGTAGGCTAGTACCCAAAAAATGTAAAGCAGCTCATACAACGAAGAATTTGTCCACCAGGGGCTAGTCCACTGCACATGGTTCAAAAGAAAAGTGGCAGTTGGAGATTATGTGGTGACTACCGAATCAAAATGAATCAACTGTACCAGATAAATATCTAATTCCGCATATGACGTTACTCACTCGTTGGACGGAAAGACAATTTTCACAACACTAGACTTTGAACTAGTTTATCATCAAATATCAATGGCCCCGGAAGATCGTGACAAAACAGCACTAATTACACCTTTCGGCCTTTTTGAATAACGTTATACCATTTGGTTTAAAAAATGCAGCTCAGACATTTCAACGATTTATGGATCGTTATTATGGTCGTTCTCCGAGGTCTAGATTTTGCGTTTTGTTACATCGATGATGTACTTATTACCTCCGCCAACGAGTTCGAGCATAATAA